TTTGAGGTCAGGGACTAGATACTCTCTATCCTAAGATAACATTGCATTGTGCTTTAGATGTTAAAATGGGAAATTTGGATGATGCCAGTTCTGCTGCATGGTTAGGAAGCTGTGAGCAGTCTTCTCGGGCTCTTTAGTACATTGTTCATTTGTTGAAGGAGCATGGCCAGAGCCCAAAATGTAATCCATACAAAGATCTGAGCCCAGAGCCTGGCGTCTGGCTAGTACTCGGCAAGTTTTAGCATTATCGTGGAAGTGCTTTTCCAACTAGGACATCAGGTGAGCTGAAGTGCTTCTGCCCCAGCTGTTTCATGCAGCTGTAGCCACATCTCTGGAGTGGCTGGTGAGAAGGAAGACTTGGTGCTCTCCATACATAGTCTTACCAGAGACTGGGGCCTTTTGAACATCATTCAGAGGCCAGGTGAGTTAGCCAGGAGAACAGCTGGACATTTCTTTAAGGTACCTTAAAGTGTGCTTTATTGCTAGTCTAGATTTCAGTTTATAAACTAAAGACTCACAGTTGCCTGGTGATGAAAAGTTTTTAAGCATTAGAAACTTTTTCCCATTTCATATTTTTCCATTGTCATTGAACTTTGGGCCTGGATTTCCTCAAGCTCTGATTTGTGTAATATAAACACGGTGCCCCAGGAGGGAGATATATTTCCTAGAGTTTTGTTTTTTAAAGAAAAGCGTAAATAAGCTACTAGAAAAGGCCAGTTTATTTATGTAATATACTAAAAGAGATCCAATTCTACAAGTTGACTTAACGTACAACTCCCAAATAAATGAATAAGGTAGTCTCATTCTATATTTTATAGATAGTGGAAAAGAGCAGCAAGAGATATATCATACGGATATATGTTTATTAAACAGACTGGATTCAAGTCCTGGCTTCACCATGTACTGTCATGCTATTACATGGTTTGTCCTCTGCTCATATTCTTCATGTATGAGGTCAAATACTGCTACCCAATTTATAGGGTTGTAGTGAAAATCAAATTATTAGATTGTACTAATATATCTAATTCAGTGGTTTTCAATCTATGGGTCGCAACTCCTTTGGCAAACCTCTCCCTCTGAAAATATTTACATTGCAGTTCATAACAGTAGCAAAATTACAGTTATGAAGTAACAAGGAAAATAATTTTATGATTGGGGTCACCACACCATGAGGTGTATTAAAGGGTTGCAGCATTAGGAAGGTTGAGAACCACTGAATTGATGTATTGGACTGCTTGTCAACTAGGATACACACTTGTGTACATAGAAGAAGTTGGACAATGCATACATCCATATTTAGGATGATGGGGCTGGTATGTAATTCCTTTCACGTATTGGTGATGATGACAGCCATCCAGCCACCACCAAGTCACTTGAACACTGAGGAATACTAGGGTAAAAATGATGTGTTCTACATCTTAAATTTTTCTTTTTAAACTTATTTTAAAATGGTAATTATTTTTGAGGGTAATTTTGAGCCTTAACCTCTAGAAATGTTCCAGTTCATGTCGTAAAACCTGTATTTTGGTCTTTGTGCTGCCATTCATAGAACAGACCCACAGAAGCCTCTTGTTTTTCATTTGCAGCCATGAATAAAATACTGTATTCTCAAATGTCCCTGTGGAAAAATAGGGATGGGAGTTTTTGTCCAGTTAGAGCCATCCTCTTCTGTGGAGGGTCCTGACCCACTTTTCATAGGAACTCTTGAGGAGAGAGGGATGAGAAAATACCAGGTAGAATGATAGGCCTACCAACAAGAGGAAAGAGGGAAACACAGGATAGCTTTGGGAGGACCTGGGTCGATACCCAACGGCCCAGAACTTTATTCAAAAGGGATTTTTATAACAATGCCAGGAGGTAAGGCAAAAGACCTCCCTCTTGCTAGATACAGCCAAGTGTATACCCTTCCAAACACCTGGTACCCAGGCCCATGGTCCAGTCATCCCCTTATGCAGCCCTACTGGGGTAAAGCAAGCTCAAATCTCACTAGGAAACCTCTGTGGGCTCCCACACTCTTCAGCAGAAATAACTGTCATCCATAATAGGCATGGTGGTTCATGCCTGTAATTCCAGCTACTCAGTGGCTGAGGCAGGGAAAGACAAGTTCATAATGTGTCTGAGCTATACAGAAAGTTCAAGACCACCCTGAGCCACTGGGACTGTCTCAAACTAAAATTTTAAACAAGGCTGGGGACATAGTGATGCAACACATGCCTGCCATGAGCAAGGCCCTGGATTTAGTCCCTAACCACCACCCCCCAAAAGCCCACGTGTGTAATTCAACAATATCTAGTATTAGTACAGGGCTGAAGAGATGGCTCAGTGCTTAAGATCACAGACTGCTCTTTCAGGCGATCCAGATTCTGTTGACAACACCATGTTGGCTCACTACCATCTATAAATATAACTCCAGTTCAGGGGGAATCTAATGCTGTCTTCTGGCCTCTGAGGGCACTGCACACGTACGCAGACATACATGCGGACAAAACAGCCACCTGTACAAAATAGTAAAAGTTAAACAGAGTATCTCATAGCCACATTTAAAAGAAACAAGTTTAATATTTAACCCAATATATCTAAAATAATTGTCATTCCAACTTGTAATAACATAAAAATTATTTAGGTTATTTTTAATTAAATATTTTAAATCTAGTGTGTATTTACAATCACAAATACATCTCAAATTAACCACATTTCAGGTGCTCAGTAACAGCATGTGATCAGTGACTACCATATTGAACAATACAGATCTACAATTTAGATAAGTATTTCTCATCAGTGTTCAGGTACTGGTTGTTGCTTTGGTCACAAGCAGCTCACACATCTTATTTTTAGAACTCGGTGTACCTTTGGATGCTTCAACTTTATGTCCCTTTGATCAGATAACTTAGATTAGCATTGGTGTCCCTGGGAGGATAGGGCCTTACCCTTAGTGTCTTGGCTGGTCTAATAAGGATTTGCTCTGGGCATGGCATGTACCTGTGTTTGGTCAAGGTTGGTAGACAACCATAGATTGCTGAATTCATTAAGTGTGATAAAACTTTTGAACCACAAAAATCAGAGCTCTAGGTCAGTATTAGCATTATTAGGCTTTGTCAAAAACCCTTTACTCCTGTTTCTTATCTACCCCCCCCCACACACACACACACCTTAAGTTTCAGTTATCTAATGACTCTGGGGAAAGAGCACATACCAGCAATTTTCTAAAGGAATTATGTCTCTGTTTTAACAAGGCATCCCTCTGAGAGATTATTTTGACTTTTGAACAAACATTTTGAGAACTCTTTTGGAATCTAGGTTGGCAGTGCTTATGTGTAATCCCAGGTACTGTGGGGCTGGAAATAGGAGGATCAAGAATAATGAATTCATAGCCTGAGCTACATGAGGCCCTGTATCAAACAAACAAACACTTTTTATGCACTCTTTAGGTGTCAGGATATCTTGAAGAACAAGACATACTTCTGTATTATACATTGGGTTTTTATTGTCTTATTTTTTAATCATGTTTTCTGATGTTGTCTTTCATCTAGATTTCAGGAGAATTATAGTGAAGAGGTTACTATCCTTGACTGTTGGAATAAAGAGAAAGATAGTATGGGACCTAAGTGCCCTTATCAAACAACATAGATCTGTTTAGATGTCACCGTCTTAGGAGGCCTGCCCTGATCATTGCATCTAAACAACTGCCAGACATCAGGACTCTGCCTCTACCTTTTTAAGGGCAGGGAAGATAAGACTACCACTTACCATTAACTAAAATTTGTATGCCTTTCTAAGCATAATTACATTTTTTAAGGATGGGGACTTTGTCATTTATTCCTGTATTGCCAGCTCCTAGTATAATACCTGACATTCAGTTCATTGAATAAATGAAATAGATGTTATTTCCCATATGTACTAAGTAATTTTAAATTTAAATGCCTGGCAGAATTTTTCCTATTGTTGCTCTAGGCAATGAGATATGCTTGAGTTTGCAGACCTAATCTCAGTGGTAGGAATCTTGGTGTTTGCTCTTGACCATTCATTTAGATAGACTTTACTTCTGTCAGAGTGTGTGGGATATAAGGAGAGGGAAAGGAACAGTGTGGAGGATGATTGTAAAATGAAGGAAGGGTAGCGGGTGTATACCCAGAGACAATTGGAGATTATGTAGAGAAATAATATGGGAAAAGGAATTACTGGGATAGGAATTGGATTGCAGTTTTATAGTTCAGTTGCTGAAATTTGCATAAGGACACATTTGGACAGAACAGTTGGCTTACTAGGTAACAGAAACATAGGTAAAAGGTAAAAGGGAACTCATGACCACAGAGATTAGTACTGTTCAGAGGAAATGTGGGCTATGTTGACACATGGCTCCAAACTTCTATTCTTTATTTAGAATCTTTATTTAAAATTCTATTTACCCTTGTCCATTTCTCAGCCATTCTTCCAGTTCACCTCTTGTGCCTTTGTGCCAACATGACAACCATTTCCTAGTCTGTGTGCTTTGTGTCCCTATGGCACCTGCGAGCACAGATTCATCATGCTCTGCAAGGCCCAGAAATCCTGTCATAACTGCTGCTTGTCCCGGGAACCACCCTGGCAGTATAAGTAATCCTCTCCAGGGTTTTGTTTTTCCATTGCTGTGGATTAAATTAAACCCAGGACCTCACAGGCATGATATGCTTTACCATTGAGCTACATGTCCACCCATTCAGGTTTTATTGAGAACGAGTTATATTGCAATCAAACTTTTAACAAAAGAAATTAAAGCAAAATCAACAACTTTTACTTGTTTAAATGAAAAAAGACCCTTTTATGTAAAATGTACCTGTTTTTTAATAGGCTACGAATAGAGTGTATTTAGTTTATAAATATATTAATAGGAACAATAAGTAAATTGGAATTGTCTTTTGATATTGTAGCCGTGGGCTTTGACTTGTTAGGCTTTATTTGGGTGGTGTAGTTTTAGAGGTTTGTAGAGTTTAATTTTAACCTACTGTCTTGTCTCTTTGTAGTCTGTAAGACCTGTATTGTCCAGCACTTTGAAGACAGCAATGATTGTCCAAGGTGTGGCAACCAAGTTCATGAAACAAATCCATTAGAAATGTTGAGGTAAAGAAATATACTTCATAATTTGTCTGATTTTAATTGTATACATTTGTAATCTTTATCATTTATTATTCTATTTGAGCATAAGTTGGGCATTTAAAGCATTTTACTTCATTTTTAAATCTTTTAATAAAAGTTTGAAATAAGATTACATAATATTTAGGAAATGTATCTGCAATTAAAATGACAACATTCTCTTGGGCTTTTCAGAGTGACTTCAGTTGAGTTCTTTTCAGATGCAGGTGAACTAGATTGGATAACTGTATTGGTAATAAAATTATCAGGAAGGCAATAGTAAGAAAAAAAATGTATGCTGGGAGAAAAGAGATTGATGTGTGATGGTATCTAAGAATGGAAGGATGATGTGAGGTGGTTAAGAAAGGATATGTGGGAGACAGACCAAGAAGTAGCTGAGAGTAAGTCTCGGTGAAAAGTGGAAGAAAGAACAAAGTGAATCCTTTCCCTTTGAGCCTCTTTGGGAGTGTTGTAGTATCATTTAAAACTTTAAGAAAGGGAGGTAGCTAAGGGGTGTTCTGTGTTGCCCTGGAGGGATTTGATGAGACAGTGGGTATCCACATAAGTGGGTAACAGCAGGTGACTGAGTTGTTCAGCATCTATTGGAAATTCAGACTAGACCTAACTGCCCACATGTTAGTTTAAAGCTACAAAAATAGATGAGGAGCCCAGACACATGGCCCACAGAAACACTGAAAGAAGGAAGGTGGCGTCTATAGAGAGCTACAGGGAATACTCAGCCCTCCTTATGGCTGGGTTTTTCCTCCAGTGGATTTGGCCAACTGTGCCCATCAGATATATGTGCAAGAAAAATTGATTCTGTACTCAGCATTTAATTGTCATTATCCCCAAACAATAAAATTAACCAATGCATTCACATTGTATTACTATATGCAGACCCAGCTGGTTTGAATCTATAGGAAGATGTGTATTAGATATGACATCCTGCAGTGTTTTATATGAAGAACTTAACCATCCAGATTTGGTGTCTGTGAAGAGTCCAGGAACCTGCTCCCCAGCACTGGGGGATGACTTTAGTATGGATAAAAAAAAAATATTTAGGCACATAGAACAGACAGGGAAAAACATAATGAGGAAAGGGAATTTCAGGGAGTTGGTATGAAGCCATGCTGTCAGATAGCTGTGAAACTATACTGGTCATAGGGACCAATTATAGGGAGTTGAGTGAAGCAGGAATCTTAAAGGGTCTTATTAATAAAATCAAACCTGGGGCCAGTTATTGGGGTGAAATGCTGGATGATCAGAGAGACAGAACAAGCCACAGCTAACCTCACCTGGCCAACTTCTCAGCTGGTCTTGTTTCCTCAGACTGGAAGCCTCTGTGTCCTCATATCCGAGTGGCTCTCAGCTGAACTGTGCTGCTCAAAACCTAAAAGCTTAACCAGCTAATGCTTCTAGTTTCTGGTCTTCACACCTTATATACCTTTCTGCTTTCTACCACCACTCCCTGGGATTAAAGGCTCACTCCCTGGGATTAAAGGTGTGAGTCACCATGCCTGGCTGTTTCCAATGTGGCCTTGAACTCACAGAGATCCCAGATGGATTTCTGCCTCTGGAATGCTAGGATTAGAGGTGTGAGTGCCACCCTTTTCTAGCCTTTGTATCTAATGGCTGTTCTGTCTCTGACCCCAGATAAGTTTATTAGGGTGCACAATATTTTGGGGAACACAATACCACCACAGTTGAGGAAGGTAAAACAGCAAGTAGCAGTATGAAATAGAAGTAACAGACTATACTCTTCAAATTTTTTCAGATTGAAAAACAGACAGTTATGAGCCATCCAGTGTGGGTGCTAGGAACTGACCTCCAGTCCAGTGCAAGAGCATCAAGTACTCTTAACTGCTGAGCCATCTCTCCAGCTCCAGAAATAGCTTTAAAAGACATTTAGGGAATAGATTTTGCTTCTTTAGAGTTTGATGTCAAAGAATAGTAATGCTGTTAAAGCAGGATGAAAATGAAGTAAGAGCAGGTGTTGTAGAAGCAACAGAATGGGCTGAAGAAACAGAGCCAGGAAAAAGAAGGGTTATGTATTATCAGGAAAAGAAAACTAGAAGAATGCCTAGATAAATAAGTTTGTATCTAGGGAGCTGGAAGAGTCAAACTGTCTTAAGTTTCTCAGAAAATGAAATGGAGAGCATTCATTTTTAGAAAAGAACCAGCATTGTAGAGATTCGAAGAGTGGGAATGTTAGCTATTGCTGCGTGACAAACCACCTCTAAATTAGTGCTTCAGATGGCAAGCATTCCTTTCTCCTCGGCAGCGGTGTGGGTTAGTGAGCAATCTGGTCTTGGCTTTGCTCATTCCTGCTCATTCAGTTAACTACTGGGTTCTGCCATGTGTTGGGGTGGACTGCCAGTGCAGTGATCTGGGGCTGCCTCAGCAGGGCAGTGGAGCACTCCCCTAGCTGATTGATGTACATGGAGCAGAACTGCAGTACTTCTTAAAACCTAGGTTAGGTCCAAGGTCAGTGTTATTTGTCCCATGTTCCTTTTGGTCTAAGCAATTTTCTGGGGTAGTCCCTATTCTTGGGATTGGGAATTCTCAAAGATCTAGACTCCACCTCTTGACCAAGTGAAGAACAGCAAAGGCATGTTCAGAGGGCCTATATATAGGGAAGGCTGGGAACTTTGGGACTATTTTTTTCCCTCTTGTATACCACCAAGGGAAGGCTACTAGAAGTGGGCGTGCTCCCTATGAAGGCAGCACTGGTGGAGCAGGAGTGCTCCCCATGAAGGCAGCAGTGGTGGAGTAAGTAAAAGGTTGTTTAACAAAAGTAAAAGAAAAAATCATCTGCAGTCTGTGTTTCATAGTATGGGTAAGAAATCTCAGGCCGGGCGGTGGTGGCGCACGCCTTTAATCCCAGCACTCAGGAGGCAGAGCCAGGCGGATCTCTGTGAGTTCGAGGCCATCCTGGGCTACCAAGTGAGTCCCAGGAAAGGCGCAAAGCTACACAGAGAAACCCTGTCTCGGAAAACCAAAAAAAAAAAATCTCAACTGTTTGCATATTGGATTCTGATCTCTTCATTGTTTATCCCCTGAAGGTTGGATAATACATTGGAGGAAATTATATTTAAGCTGGTACCTGGACTACGAGAACGTAAGTTGCTCTTTGGGTTCTACAGACTTTTCTTGTTTTATGAGATCAGTATTTCTATTAAAGATTTCATCCTATAGTTTTCATGTTTTTTTTTTTCCTTCAAATTAGAAGAACTTCAGCGTGAATTGGAATTTTGGAAGAAAAATAAACCTCAAGAAAATGGACAAGGTAACTCTATGTTTCTGACACCTTCTCTCATTATTACATTGGTGGAGTAATGTCTTTCTACACTCAGAGTTCTCCTGTGCGAAACTCATGCGCCTTTCATGAGATATTATCTGAATCATTGCAGATCTGCATGATTCCAGTTGAAGGTAATTGGAGAGAGGAAATTGGACTTTGGGAGGAGAAAGGAAAGAAATGAAAGAGAAAATTGAATAGGTGATAATACCAATAGTTTCAGAACAGAAAAATCTGAAGTAAGAAAGAATCTTAGCAAGCACCTCAGTCGTGAAGGCATCTTAATTTTACTTCACTTGTAAAAGCACTTTAATAGGAGCCAGAAATGAAATGTGGTTAAGAACCAAGTTGGGGTTTGCTGCGCTCTGATGCTGTGAAAGGAGCACAGGTGGACAGACCGCTGAAGGTTCAGGAGAAGGTCATGGGTCTGTCAGCAAGGGTTTCTGTGTGCTCACCAAGATGTTCCCATCACCAGGCGCCAAGTATCCAGGTTTCTTCTCTGGGACCCAAGTAATAATTCATCATTTCAGCAGGCCTGGAGAGAACTCATTGGGTAAAGTACTTGCCTCAAAAGAGTGAGGACCTGAGTTTGATTCCCAGAACTCACATAAAAGAGTGAGGCATGGGCCAGCAAGATTCTCAGAGTGTAGAGATACTTGCACACAGACATGATAACTCAGTTCGGTCCCTCAGTCCCTCAAGGTGACAAGGAGAACTGACTTGGAGATCTGACATCCACACATGCACCTACCTGTACACACAGTGTTTAAAAGTCAGCGCAAGGAAGGCAGAGCTAGGCCGGTCTCTAGGGCTTAGTGGCCAGCCAGTCAACCTAGTCAGTGAGGTCCAGGCCAGTGAGAGACCCCCATCTCAAAAAAGCAGGGTAGATAGCACTTAAGAACACCCAAGATTCAGTCCTGGCCTCCATGAACACACATGCATAACACACATATACACACGCACACATGCACACACAGTAACAATAGTTTCACAGAGTGGCAAATGTTGCTGTACTGAGAAGGAGCTGTTTGTATGTGTATTATCCATACAAAGGGATATCTAAGTCAGAAAGTAACACCATTCTTCATGTTTTTAAACACAAGACTTCATTCAGGACACCCTAAGTACCATTCAAGAGGCCCCTGTGCATCTGTGAACTTAGTCTCCAGCCTTGATTTGCTCATAAAGTTTCATAAAAAAATCAAGGTCATTGCAGATGAATGAGGAAATGCTGGGTCTCTTTTTCTCATTTATGATGGTGCTAATGGCTTTAATAGTTTACTTAACTATTTAACTAATCCCTTAGCAGGGGAGCTTTGATAATAGTTTTCATGAGTAGAATAATGGTAGCAAAGGGCTGTTTTTATACATAACAACAAAATGAAGAAAGATGCTGAAATAACTTAACCTAAAGCTTATTTTACCTGTGTACAATGTACTTAGCTTGACATTTAAAAAAAAAAGTAGATAATATAAAATAGTCCAATTTTTACTAACACACATGGAATTGCTGTCAGAATTACAGAATAGGTTTAAGCTATGATTTGTTTTATATATGAGTGCCATAGACAAAATAGATAATTTTGTATATCCTGGTTTATGAATTTTATCTCCCTTTACCTATTTTTTTCCTTTTCAAAATATTTTTGGATTTGGTTTTTAACTTTGAGGGTGTGGGGCTTTTCACTGAGCTAGCTGTTTGGTTCATAGAGACAGTGTCTGTACTTGGGTTCTGTGTAAATATGGATGGGAAAAAGAAAGCCATCTTCGAATTTTCGTAAGGTACAGTGTAAGGCTTTTACTGTATTGAACAAAGACTAGCCTCTCATTGGTAGGAGGACTTGAAAAGTGTAGATCTTGGTTAGCTGAATTTTCATACTTAGCTTAGGTAGCTATATTTCATCTGGACAAGTTTCCTGACTCTTACATGGTCATATATTTCATTTACTTACCCACCCTATATTTGTCCCTTTTTGCCTTTTCCTGGACCCCGGCACCGTAATGCTGAGGATGCTAACTCTTAGTGTTTGTGTTTCTCATTTCTGTGGCAAAATAATTGACCAGAAGCGACCAGGAGG